TTTAATCATCATAACCACGATGAGGCAGGAAAAAAACCTCCTCAACATTTGTTTTCCCAATGGCACTTGGCAGATGAGCATATAGCAAGTGCATCTGCTGGAAGCGCTTACACTTAATGAGTCACTAACATTGGTAAGTTCAGTTCACATCTTTTAGTGCAAAAGAGGGAGACAGAAAGGAAGGAGTAGTTTTTAGAAGTTTTCTACTAGAAAGCCAGTCTGAAAATGTCTGCTTAATTAGGTAGTTCTTTGCTCACCAGTTGAGCAGTGCCTGAAAAATCTACTTGCTATTTTTCACAAATGAATGGCATCAAGGCAAAAAAAAAAAAAGTGTCAGTAGTGTCTTTGTGAACCATGTAACAAAGTAATCTTTACTAGCAGTACCCACATGGAGAATACTTCACTCAGATCTTTCTTCGGTTTCTTGGCAAGATTTCAAATTCTTCCAGGTTCCTTCAACACAGCTGTTCCTGTTGCCCTTGAGTGGGCAAAGTAAGCACTCTTTGTCAACAGTGAACTCGCACTTTCAGCAGGCATTAGCCAGGCATGATGAATTCATGTATACCTCATGCAAGTTCTGCAAAGTGAACTATGTCCCCCATCCATAAAGGTTGATGAAAAATCAGTTTCTGATGAATTTCAGATGACAGCTTCCTCCATAAAAGCACATTTGGAAGGAAGACAAAAGGTTCAAAACCAACTGGTCTTCACATGAGGCACATCTATAATCCTCTCTAAAAGAAACATTTGGTTCTGTTATTTGTAAGAGCTGTCATCATGCCTGCTCAGATTGTCCAACCAGTCCTGCTTACTGGGAAAGCAAAAATAGTTTTGCTTAATAGCAACCTCAGCTGTGATGCAGCAATGTGTTCATTCTCTCATGATATTCAGGGTGAATTTTCCTGCCACCAGTATTCCATTTTGCACCCGGCCACCTTTTTTTTCTAAACCAGTGATCTGGTAAGAAACCCCAAGCAAAACAGATACATTCACGATTCCATGCTGAGCCAGTGTTCACTGAGTAGACAGTTCTAGGAAGCAACTGGTAGGTCAGTGCCTGGGCAGCAACATCCCAAAAACCACTTGGATTCTCCAGCATCCAAGGCAAAGGACAGAAAGGGGCCTATCTTTAGGCCATATATACTTACAGGAGATCAGGAAGCCCAGTTTCAATCCAAGGAAAGCAATGACTTGTCTGAGGGGGTTTTAAAAGACTTTATTAGCTCCAGAATCTTATTCTCAGCACAGAGGCTCTATCATAAACCAAATTTTGTCATTCCAGATGTAAAGAGCCACAACTTGGGCTCTTGGCTTACTGTCTTTCAATGAATAATGAATCTCTCATGCTGGGGAATCTTTCTGTGTTTGGGAAACTTGAAGCTTTGTATTAAGAAAATAAGCAACATGGTTCATTGTACTGCTTTGAGCAGCTGCTTAAGTGTTTTTTTAGTTTTTGCGCATACCTCTAATGTCCACTAATAATACGAAGGCCTCAATCACTCTTGCCCACAATTATGATGGTGACACTGGCAGAGGGTCCTGGCTTAAGCACCTCTGGGTGGAGCAATGCTCAGCTAGTACAGAACTGGAAGATTTGTGCAATCTCAGGCAGTGCAGAGAGATGTGCTGATGATAGGAGTGATAACAGAAGAAGCATGTAGGTGTAACAGACTTACAATTTGAAGCTTGTATATCTCTTGTTTTGCTAAATGGTTGTGGTGCAAGACTGGGCCATATTCAAGAAAAACTGAATGCAAAGAGGTTCAGTGACATCCCTGACATATAAGACAAAGTCTTTCTTGTTATTCTTCTGATAATGAAGGAACAGAATAAACCTATCAAGAAAAACCCCCACCACACTTCCACAAGTAAACAATTAAAATAGTCCTAATGCTTTGGAACCATATTGCCAAATGCCTGTCTTTGGATGGTCCTGACTCCAGCTTCTGCAGCAGGAAGAGCAGGATTAAAAAAACAAAACAACGTAGGGAAGAATGTGAGAACACCCTGACACAAGAAGGATCTTTCAATAGTTCCTGTTCAATTTTCATCTGATTGGCTGCTACAGGCACAGCAACATTTTTGTAGCTAATCTGTTCTTTTCTCTCAATAATCTGCACCAAAATGTTGCTTATACTTAGCTCAGTAATAGCTCTGGCCAACGAATATGCAGGAACAGCAAGGACAGTATAGGAATTCAGCAGTACTGAGGAAAATTCTAATCCTACTAAATTTGGCAGCACAAATCTCTTATGTAACCTGTGATTTAGAGGACAGGCTGATCATCTGGGAATATTACTGTGTTCTTCTCAGTACATTAAACAAAACTGGCGATTTTCCATTACAAATTTTCTTTTGTTTTTCACTGCACAATATCTCAGGAAAGGTGTCCCATGCTTACAAAACATTTTCAGTATCAACAATATGCTTTTATATGACAATTCAATTATAAGGAGGGCGTATATAATTTTAAAAGCTACCTTTAAGTGCTTCTTTGCCAAGACTGCCTTGAACAGTGGTACATCTCAGACGTTCAGGAGATGGCTTGTGATTTAAATTTAAAGCAATGAGACTCCAAAGCAATGCTTGGAAAATGAGTTTCTCTGAAAATTGACTGTTACATCAGCGTATTTTATAGATCTCAGGAACTGAAACTCTCACAAGGCTAAGAAGCTTTGAGGGCTACAGATGGAAGATCCTGAGCATGTACAAATCCCTAGAAAAACAAAACACTCTTTGTATCCACCATTAAAAAAAAAGCCCACCAAAACAAACCCCATCCTCCTTTTACAACAAAAATACATTCTAACATGCAAAAGCAGCTGCCCAGTAATAGGGTACAGGTGCTTAAAAGCTCCATTCACAAAATAATTATAAACAAATAATTATAAATCATATTATTTAAATCCCTGTTGTTCTTAAATCAGTTACAAAATGAGGCAAGAGTTCATTCAGTGCCAATATTTACAGAGTGCAATAAACATTCAATTCATACCATGTATTCAAGAATTACAATGTCATGCTTTTGAAGTAGAGATACTGACCAGTTTCAAGAAGACAAGAAAAGAAGTTTTATTCACAGAACAGCAAAAATCAGTCAATTCTACAGCACACACCCATAAAGGGTGAAGAATTCAGAGAATATCGGAGAATCTGCCACCTGCAATTGTCATACACTCCTTACAAGCACTTGCTGCAAAGCTCGAAGCCAATTATAGACATTTTCTTTTCCCCCATACAAAGGATGTGTCATAGAGATATACACTAATATTGGAATTCCTTGATGTGTTTGGAAACAAGTGGCCAGAACCAAGATATCACCAGCTAGCTAATCCACGTACCTCCATTCAATTGTTGCAATAAATGAAGCCTTTAAAGTGAAAAGCAGCAGCATTCCTCTCTTCTTTTGGAAAACTCAGCCAACTCCACTATCCTGACAAAGCTTCTTAGTAAATATAAAATGCTGAAAAGAATGACCCCTGTAGCAACTGCAGGAAGCTAACACATTTGGAAGAAATGTAGGTGACAAATGCTTAATAATGCATAATTAAGGGTGACAGGAAATGTCAAACACCCCCCTTTAGAGGGCTACTTACAGTGCAACTACAGGGTGGTTTAACTATATGCACAACACTCTTCTTTTGGTCCCATAGAAAGAACAGCAATTTTTCAGTATCCAGTAGTCATGCAGTTTTCTCAGTAAAAATATGAGAACAAAAGGAAACCTAAAACATATTCACAGGGAAATTCCCATTGATAGTTTTTCTGTTAAGAGTTGAAAGGAAATTGCAAAAGCACAAGACTGCCAAGAGAAGGTTGCTGGGAGGAGTAAACACTCCTTTTAACTAGGTCTAGTTAAAACGGCACCATGAATTAAGGAGTACCATTCTTTCCCCTTAAAATGCATGCAAAGTGAACACTTACTATGCTCCATAACAGAACTTGCTTTCTTGTGTAGAAACTAAGCAAAGGACAAGAGAACTGCAGAATCGTATGTAGCCTCTCATGCTCAGAGATGCTCACTTCAAGTCTTGTATCAAACCAGTGCTGAAGACAAGGCAGCCTGCTTTCAGCTTTCAAATTTGACGCGTATATAAGCAGTTATATCATCAAATTCAAGAGCAAGTTTCAAACTAGGTATCTAAAAGCCAGACCAAATTAGGAAATGATGAGACTGAGACACTTAGAAATTGATGCTCATTATTTTATTGCCGTGGGCCACCAGATGCCACACATAAAGCCTCCCTGGAGGCTAACGAGGGAATAGGCGATCAGCCTGTGCTGGGTTTGGCTGGGGTAGAGTTAGTTTTCTTTGCAGTGGCTGGTATGGGGCTGTGTTTTGGATCTGTGCTGATCACAGGGTTGAAAACGTAAAGATGTTTCTGTTATTGCTGAGCAGGGCTTATACAGAGCCAAGGCCTTTCCTGCCTGCAAGGAGACTGGAGGTGCATGGGAGGTTGGGAGGAGACACAGCTGGGCCAGCTGACCCCAGCTGACCAAAGGGATATTCCAGACCCTATGACATCATGCTCAGTATGTAAAGTGTGGGATGTTTGGAGTGATGGTGTTTTGTCTTCCCAAGTAACTGTTACACATGATGGGGCCCTGGTCTCCTGGAGATGGCTGAACACCTGCCTACCCATGGGAAGTAGTGAATGAATTCCTTGTTTTGCTTTGCTTGTGTGCATACCTTTTGCTTTCCCTATTAAACTGTCCTTATCCCATGAGTTTTCTCGCTTTTATCCTTCCAACTCTCTCCCCAGTCCTGCTGGTGGGGGAGAGAGTTGCTCCATGGGCGTGGTTGCTGGCTGGAGCTAAACCACGACAATGACAAAGAAAGAACTGGCAGGGCAACTCAGTAGACTTCAGCAGTTTAACAGTTTGTGATATAACCAACTGTACTGTAGGCAGAAACAAAATTCAACAGGACAATTGCATTAAGATCTGAAGAGCATGGACATAACAGTTTGGGCTGAGAGTAGTTAATAAAAACGTATAGGTATAGAACTGAATGAAGATATTTTAATGAGGTGATACAAGCTCATATTTTATACATCTATAAAATATAACTGTGAAACAAGCAGAAGACTAGTGATAGGCCAAAAGAATAAAAGTGTTAATCTCAAAAATCTCTCTTATGATGGTAACATAGTTTCAACCTATCCACCAGGATCTTCTCATTCCCTTTGAACTCTATCAGTCACTGCAAACCATTAGCTTTCAATATCAGCTAACATTAATGCTAAAACAAGAATCAAATATTATGTACATTCTTAGGCAAACCATCAGGCTGTCTTTACCTCTCATCTCATTCCAAGTAACTGCATTATCTTCCAAAAAGTATTATTCACAAATTATTTTAGGGAAAAGTTACTGTACAAGGACACAGAAGTTAAAGTTCATAAAAAGACTACTCAATACAATTAGACTGAAGTTTGCTTGTAGTTCTTCGTATCCAAGACCTTCTTGCCACACATTGAGCAGATGCCTATAAGCATACAAAAGGTGTGTAAATTATTTTAAAATTATTAAAGTCTTCTTCAAAAACACATTTGCTATGTTTTGGTAAAGATTATTTTTTTAAAAATTGTTCAAATGAGCTCTTATTGACATTCCGTGCATTTTCTCAACAGATACTGCAAAATTAGAAGTCATATTATGACTTCTAATACATATTAGTAGTTGCAGCATATGTGTAATACTGCCACTCAAGAAAGTAAGCTCTATTTTGAGAGCAGTATGTTTCACAACACTGCCCGAAGCCTCTGTAATTTGCTGGAATTCTGGAAGAGAGCCAGGAAAGGCTCACGTCCAGCAAACAGGTAAAATTGGTGTATTGTTAATCCTTTTACGTTCTGTAGCCAAACCAAGGCCTGAGATGGACAGAAAGTAGCAGGGCGAAGAAAATACAGAAATTTACTTTTTTCTCTTTCTCTTTTATTCCCTAGGTATTCTACTTTTTAAACTAGCCTACTGCTTTACCAAGATTAAAAGTTGGTTGTTCTGCGGGAGTTTTTTTTGGGAGGTGGATGAGTGTGGAGTGTTTCGTTTTTGGTTTAGGGGTAGTTTTTGTTTGGGTTTTCGGTTTGGGATTTGTTTGTTGTTTTGTTTTGGGGGTTTTTTTTGAGAACACTATTTAGAGTTTTAGATTCAGTTATTATAAAAAGGGGAGAGTGGAGAAGGGAACAGAAAAGGGACTGCAACAATCAAATGAGTTTTACAAAATCTAATTTTTTTTAACCTGAGAAAAATCAAACTTGCTAGATGACAGTTTCCTATGCAACTGCCAAGATTTAGCTTAGAGTTATTCTTCAAATCTACTGGTTCTGATACCAGAAACATTTTAGAAGAATCAGAATCACAGAATTACACAGGTTGAAAGGAATCTCCAGCAGTCTTTAGTCCTGCCCCACTCAAAACACAGCCAATTTGGATGAGGTTGGCTCAAGTCATCCTCTGAATACCTCCTTGTAGAGATTGCACAACCTCTGGTGGTGCCTGTTGGTACAGTATTTGATCACTCTCACACTGAAAAATTGCTTTCCTTGTATGTAATTAGGAGTTTCCACATTCTAACCTGTGTGCATTGTTTTTCATTCTGTTACTGTGCACCTCAGAAGAGTCTTTGTGTTCTCTGTGCCTTCCTATTAGTAGTCAAAGACAGCAATTAAATCTGATAATCTCATTTTAGCCTTCTGTTTGTAAGGCAAAACAAATTCAAGTGTTCCCCTTCCTACCTAGTTTCTATCCAAACTGGGGTATTTTGGTACTCAGTGAAACTCACCCTTTTTATAGGCACATCCTTGACAATAGTGAGACCCTGGCTGATGGACAGAACTCTTACAGATCCGACATATTGCAAACTTGTTCTTTCCATAAGGATCAAATCTGGGGAAAAAAAAGAAAAGTATTTGATTTATACACCTTGAAATTAAGTATTTCTTCTGCCTCATCCTAAAAAGTTTAAGCCAGAGAACATAGTCAGAAACTCCAGCAAAATCTTTAATTTAGAAAAGGGTTATACAAGAATTAATTCTAATAGGCTGCACAGAGTATGCAGAAAAGCTCCCACTTGCCCTACTAAGAGAAATTTCTTGCATTACAGACATAAACTTAACAAAAGCAGAACTAAAAATGTGTATTTTTATTAAAATACTACATGACTTTGAACTTAAACACCTTCTAGCAGCATCTTGCTCCCTTGCACAACAGGAAGTCCCTTGGAGCCTAAGGAAATGCTCAAGAGATTATACCAGCAATCTAGCACAGAAAATAAGCCTTCCCAGCTTCTCTCCTACAAAAGCATCAAAGTCTAGCAATTTCAGTGAGAACTGCAGTAAAATACTTGTCCACACTCTATGACTGAGCGGAAAGCCCTCATGAAATATGTACTGACATATTTTTACCAACTAATAAAATATCACAATCCCCACAACTGGGGGTTTTTTAAGTGTATTTTGGACAAGTTTTGAGTAGTTGCCCAGATGTGCAGGAAACAGGCCTCAGTTAGTTTGTTAATGGATGTTCATAGCCAAAATCAGTATTAAATACTAACCTTGCCTTCTTTGAGGTCAATGCCTTGTTTTCATTTAATTTGCGGCCACCGCTTTCTACACAAAGAATAAAACCATAAACGAATTAATTTCCCAGTTCCAAGCATACTTTAAAAAGCTTAGTTTACAGCTTTTACACTTGTGCAAAACAAGTCACAGAGATAAAACATACAGCATAGCACTAGGGGGCAGGACAATGGAAGACTATACTCTGTTTAAATACTCTGTGTATCACCATTCCATACAGAAAAAAAACCCCAAACAGACAAATTCAATACTGAAGAGTTCCGGGTAATAAATTCCAATGCATTGAATCAGCATGGGAGGGAAACTATGTGAGTTAAGATTTAATCTGATTAGTAATGTAACATTTTAGCCTTAATATGATAAGATAACTCAGGTGCCTGACTGGTTTTATAATACCTCAAAAACAAGTGTTAAACCTCCCCGGGGTTACCTGTAGTGTTTCTTGCACCATCTTTCCATGTGTCAGGAGTGATCACCGTACCAAGCTTCTTCTCGCCTATGTAAGGAGATATTACAAAGCAAAAAAAAAAAATCAGAATCACAGAATCAATTGGGCTGGAAGAGACTTCTGAGATCATGGAGTCCAACCGATGACCTAATACCACCCTGTCAACCAGACCATGGCACTATGTGTCATGTCCTGTCTTCCCTAAAACACCTCCAGTGACAGTGACTCCATCACATCCTAGGTGGCCCATTCCAATGCCTAATCACCTTTCCTGTGAAGATATTCTTCCTAACATCCAACCTAAACCTCCCCTGGCGCAGGTTAATATTATGTCCTCTTGTTCTGTCACTAGTCGCCTGGCAGAAAAGGCTGACCCCCACCTGGCTACACCCTCCTTTCAGGTAGCTCTAGAGAGTGATGAGGTCTCCCCTGAGCCTCCTTTGCCCCAGGCTAAAAAATCCCAGCTCCCTCAGCCGCTCCTCGTAGGACTTGTGCTCCAGACCCTTCATCACCTTCGTGGCTCTTCTTTGGACCCACTCCAGCGCCTCAATATCCTTCCTGAACTGAGAGGCCCAGAACTGGACACAGTACTCGAGGTGCGGCCTCACCAGTGCCGAGTACAGACGGACGATCACTTCCCTGGTCCTGCTGGCCACACTATTCCTGATACAGACCAGAATCACCTAAACTGTGCTGCGCTAATACGTGCCACAGGCACTGCCCGTGGAATGACAGCTCACACAGAGCCCTTCCCGGAACCGCCACCGCCCAGAGTCCGCCCCGAACAACCCGGGACCCGCAGCTGCTGCTCCGCTCGGGGGCCGGCCGGGACCCCCGCAGGAAAGGCAAGGCAAGGCAAGGCAGGACAGGACAGGACAGGACAGGGCAGGGCAGGACCCCGCGCACCCCCCGTCCCCCGCACTCACACTTCTCGCACACCATCTCTGCCCCACCACAACAAGCCGCCGCTTCCGACACCGCCCCGGATCTGGCGTCGGGTCCCGCCGCCTTCCGCTGCCGGGCGGCCCCGGGCGCTCCCGGTCAGAGGCGGGAGCGGCGCCACCGCCCCTCACCCCGCAGGGCCTGGGGCTGCCGCTCCCAGGGGCTGCCCTTGATTTTTTTAAAGTGATTGACGTTCTTCTGACCCAAAAGCCAGGCTCAGGGCTTTGCCTGGTGTATCGCGAGTAGGAAAGATGTTGCCCTGTGGCGCTGCCGCCGCGTTTCCGTAGCGGGTTAACTCGGTGTCCTGCGGGTGGTCCCTTCCCGGGGAACACGATGAAAGAGGCAGAAATCAGGAGGCTCCTGGCTGCCAACCTCCTCTGTGCGCTGTCGATTGTCCTGACGGCGGTCGTTCCGTCTTTCTTCCTGGAGGGATTCACGGTGCTGGGAACGCACCTCACGTGGCTGTGTGTTTGTTCTGTCTGTGTCGGTACCCTTAATGTAATCTTGCACTTAGTCCTTAAACCAAGTCAGTCTCCTAAGAGAAGTTCGTTTGCTCAAAAGGTAAGATTTGTTTTTATTCTTAAGTTGCTACAAGACAATACAGAGGGGAATCAAATTCTCTGAAATAATCCAGTGAGAACAGAAAAGACACTTTTTGGTGGTGAATTCTCATTTTCCACGAATGAGCTGGGTGTAGCACTTTTTGAACCGAGTTTTTCAATATTTTCATTATGTTAAACTTTTTCTATCGTCTGTTCATAACCTGTTTGGGTGAGTGAGCCTGTGCTTTTCTTATTGCTGTCAGTGCATTGCTGTTTGTAGTCCCAACAATTTGCATGGTGGCAAAATCTGACAAAATTGAACGGGCACAGAACTCCTTTCATAGTCCAGGCCTCGCTACTCTTCTTGATTAGTGGGTATACCAAAAAGACATGTCATCACACGCTTCTTGTGTGTAGCTGTAAGTTTGTAATGACTTTAAAGGAAGAGAAAATACTTTTTAGAATCTGAGACATAAAAGAGACAGTAGCTCATTACAATTTGAACAAAGTTGGCCAATTTAAAAAAGTTACATGGAAAAATATTGAAATAGCTACATTTCCTTGAATGATGAAAATTTCATACAGAAAAATCTAAATTTGGGAGACATTATTCGTAATTACAGTTTGCAACAGGGAACGTTAAAGGTACAAATCCCAGTGAAGTAAGTTTGAACGTCAGGAATTTGGAGCAGCACACAACTTGCTCAGGAGTGGGGGAATACATCGATCAGAGTTTTGAAGTCAGGTGCATAGTCTCACACCTGACTTGCTGAGTCAGACAAGATGTAGTGCTCTGATGTGGTGTTTCTTAAACATTTAAGCAAGCATCTCAGAAAGCAGTATCTTTGTATGCAAAGCTTCTGTGTAGTTTTGCTGGCTGAGGAGGATGCGAAATGCACAAAACCGTTACGGAAAACATGTATTTTAACAATCTGTGATATAAAAATGAAGCATGCTTCATGTTCTAGGGGAGGTTTCATCTTAGACTAGCATAAGGAGTAAATATACAAAAAAGAAAGAGTTAAAGGGAAATTATGGAATTGCATTGGTGACCTGATCAGAACAGACCTAATCAGAACTATTTATCAAGTGTGTATGCTTCTATATGATATAGTGAGTACCCAGAAACTGTTGTTCATAGAAAGTTACGTGTTTTGCAGATTTATAGAAAGTCTGGATATTTCCCAAATGTATTTGGAATTTAAGATGCCAAGTTCAAAGTGTAGTGTTTTTTATTTAATGTCATTTTGATTCTGAATGTTGCATATTTTTTTATATTGCATCTTTTCTTGCTTTTAAATATTTTTTCACTTTCTGTGAGAGTTGCCTTTTAATGAATGGACATGACAGTCAGATGTAAAACAGAAATGTAAAAATATCCAATAAAATTATTTCTGTTTCTCCTGTCATTTCTGGTTATATTTTTTTGTACTTTTGCCTCATTCTAAAGGGTTGCAAGAAAAAAGTTTTAGATGGAGTGTGATCATTTTTAATTATTTAAACATATGGAAAACTGTTTTTAAATATGCCATGCTATTATACTGTGTTGTAGCTGAAATTAAAGAAGCAATTAGAGTACTGTGCTCTTGATAAGATGTAGACTGTGTATGTTACTTATGTTCTTCTTTGAAACGTTATTCTGATATTTTATTGCTCTTTTTTAGATATCCAGATTTCTAAAATGCTGTGTATACTTTTTCATGTCTTGCATACTGTTTCATGCGATTATTGTTCTTTATGGAGCACCTCTCATAGAGTAAGTCAGAAGACCCTCTCTTTCTCTAAACATTCTAAGGGGCAGTTCTCCTTGCAGATATTGGTATAAGTACTTGTATGTTCTCTGGTACACTGGAAGTTAAAGGATAAAGCTCCTGGCTGGGGGAAGAAGGGTGGCTGCTTGGGTTTTGGTTGATTGGTTTAATTTAGTTTTGCTGTGGTGTTTTTTTGTTTGCTTGTTTGTTTTCTTAGAAGCTAGCTCTTACAAGTTTTATTTTGAGAAGTCTTGTTTACAAACAACTTCTTTTACTTCAATATTTACCTTAAACATACAGGCATGCACATTTTTCAGAGTTTCATTTAGTCATTTTTCCCATAAGATTCTAAACCACACATCTTGCATGTCTTTTGTCCTTTTGACATTAGTATTTTAACTTTTAGAAAAGTTTTATAAAAGGAAAAAAAGTAGAAGTATGAAGCAATCTGATTTTTGAGAGATACACTAATTACTGACTACAAATAGCATCATGTAGTTTCATTTCATGGCTACTTTCACAACACCAAACTAGAAAAATAAATGGAATAATTAAGTAAATGCGCAAGTATACTTCAAGTTAGAACTAATGCTATATATGAGATACACCTGTGGTGTTTTAAAAATGTTACAGATATTGGGCATTTAAAATAATTATTGCATTTCAGTCTTGAAATAACAGCAGAACTCTCTCCAATTTTCTTTACTATTCTACAAAGCAAGAAGAAAATATTTTATTCTTCTACATGAGGTTAAGAAAGCATTTGTGCTTTCACAAGTTGACTTAGAGGTTTTGAGGTTTTTTTCCCTAAATCTTGGAACTCTTAGAAAATTAATAGCCTACCTCACTTAATTTTGTAATATTCTTTCTTTGTAGGTCAGTTACTGAGACATTTTTGTTTGCAGTTCTCCTGTCTACCTTTACTACTTTACAGTGCTTGTGTATTCTGGGACCAAACATACAAGCATGGATACGGGTATTTAGTAAAAATGGGTAAGTGCTAATCTAAAGTTTCTGATTTAAACCCTGATAGAAACAGACTGAATTTAAACAATATTTCACAGAAATTTCACAGAATATTCTGAGTTGGAAGGGACTCACAAGGATCAAGTCCACCTCTTAAGTGAATGGCCCCTACAGGGACTGAATCCACAATCTTGGTGTTATTAGCCTCATGCTCCAACCAACTGAGCTAATTTCAGGGTCAATATATAATGGAATATTTTGTAAAGAAAAGAAAACTTCCTGAATGATGGGCGTTTTTCATGTTTGTAATTACAGGCTTATGAAAGCTTTTCTGACAAAGACAATTATTATTTATTTTGAAGACACTGATTTGGAAAACCAGCTTTTTATTTTTGGCGTCCAGACACTAAATCTCACTTTATATGTGTTTGAAGGAAGTGAAGTGTCCAACACACATTTTACTGGACTGCACATTGTGCAGTCCTGTATGATGTTTGTCAGTAAAGAGGAGACCTTACACTGAGCTGAGGGAGAATATTGCACATGATCCAATAGTATCTTTGTAAAAACAACTTTTAAAGCAGGAATAGCAAGCCAAAACAAACACTTGTTTTAAACTTGAATGTAATGGTGGAAGTTATATAGAATATACAGTGGTCTGAAGTATGTAATCTTTACCCATGCTCTTCAAATTTCAAAAGGAGCTTTTTTAGTGTCAGAGTTTTCAAGCATTAATTTTTTCAAGAGTATGTTTAAAGTAAAATGAGCCTTTTAACCGCATTTTCACCTCAGTGACAGCCATGGCATTAGCATGTATTGAGGATAAACTATTTTTCAGAAGTATTCTATCTCTTCTGCCTTTTTTCATTCAAAAAATAATAGGATTGTTGAAAGACTGGGACACTGAAACATAAAGAGGCTCCCCACATGCTTGAGATTTAATAAGATATTAGTATTCATCCCCTTTTAATGGTTCATAAGTGTAGTGGTTTGGACCTTGTTTTCCCCAGAGGCTAAGAGAAGTGGTAGACCCCAAGAGGTGGAAACCCCTGGAAGTTTTGAAGTTCTGCCCAATGGGCGCTCCTGCAGAAATGTAAACATACCACAACCAGACACTAAGAGTGAAGTCTGATCTCAAAAGTGAATGTATTATGGTGCTGACCTATGGAGTTACTTTTGGTTTGCACTCCCGTAGAGGAGGACAAAACTAGACCTTTCACAGTACTGTCAGGTATTGACTTTTGGTTTCTCTCAGTTCTCAACTTACTGAAAAATATCTTGAATCCTTATTCAAGTCATTTATGCTTGTTTATTTGCAGTGGACGGGTTGAATAGACTCTAATAAAAGCATGGAGTTGTTTAGCTAAAACAAATCACTGCTGATTCACTTAGTCATCTTTGGAGGTTTTGCAACTGGAAATAATAGTTGAGTTGAAGGAACAGATGTTTGACAACATCAGTCTGTCTTTGTGCCAGGCTAGATTTTGAATGTCTGTCCGTTTCTTTCTTTCCTACTCTAGATATTAAGTATTCTTCAGTACAAGTATTGCATTGGAAACAATTGTCTTGTTTTGACATTTTTGCTGTGATGACTTGTACATACTTCTTACTAGTGACCCATGTGACATTAGCTGAGTAAAATGTCTATTATTTTTGATGTTTGTTTACTCTAGCCTTTGAATGAAAATAGACTACAAAGGAATATTGTAGCAATTTTTTATGGATTGTAGCAAGCTGCTCTTTTAAAAATAATCCCATGTTTTTTCATTTGACCTCATAAATGAGTTGGAACTTCTTGTGTCTAGGCACGAGATGAGTGTAGATGTGATATATTAAAAGATTGTCTCTAACTTAACCACGTGGAATGAGGTGGGACTGGTTAAATGGAGGAAAAAGATGGTTAGGTAAGATCAAACACAGCTGCTTGCCTTGAAAATAGAACTTAGGGAATTAAATTGCTCTGGAAGAGCAAGCTTGAAAGACTGATTAAGTGTATAGCTTAGTATAAAAAATTAATGTATTTTAAAAATACCTGAAGGCAGTTTAGACTTAAGTAACCACTGGCATTTATTTTTGTTACTCTTATTTGCCTGTGCAATATTTTTAAGATCAAAATGTGCTTGTGCTATTGTCTTTGCAGAAAGACAGAAAAAGACGTAGAAAAAGAAGGTTTATCTTGATATACCAAGTGTAAATAAGTAACAGACACTAATTACCTAGTGCTGTTGCTCTGGATGGCTTTGTGCTATGTTTAAGGTGGTTTAGTGTGAAAATATTGATGCTCCTAATGGCTTATCACAGGACTATTCATAAAGTTAAATTCAAGTAACTTGTATGCAACCTATTATATCATAATGGCTACGGTGTAACCAAGTCAGTCTGACTTAAATATTCTGTGAATAATCTTGCAAAGCGGGTTTTTTTTCTGTAGACATGCTTAGCTTTTTCTGTTTCTACTTGAGGAATTTGAATGTGAGTCACTAGTAGTAAAATCACTTCCAATAAGGTTACTACAAGATTAGTCTTAAAAGTGCCCTTATCTCTAGGAGCTGGATTACATGTGCTGTCTCATGATAACATGCAATCTGTGATACTGCAGGTTTATTATTTGTATTATAATAGTTTGGGTGGTTGGTGGGTTGGAGGGGAGGTGTTGCTTGGGTGGGGTTTTGTTTTGTGTACATGAAACACAGCTGTAGCTCAGCCAGAAGACTGCACACACTCCACATTTTTCAAACTAAATACACTTTGGAATTGTCCAAAAATGAACAAAATAGATTTTTTTTTTAAAAATACTTTATTTTAAGAAATTCAAACAAATTGTCTTACCCTCACATTTATGTGCACATAAAATATAGTGAGAAAAGTAAATCTGTGTATTCTGTATCATAAAACCTTCCATTCTTATTAGGCTGTAAATAGGGCTCTTTTCACTAATTCTGCATTTGGGAAGGGGTGGAACCATGCCAGCATCTCTGGACTCCTTATTCTGTCATCTAGTGTTGTGCCTGATGTCAGTGTCATGGCATTGATCATATCCAATCATGTGCTGCTGTAAGCAGTTAGAGGGAAGTAAAAGCTTCAGAAAGGTTATTGCTGATTTTTGGGGGGCTTCTTTTGGGGACTGTTTATTTCAAATCACTGGTTTGAGAAATTTTGTTGAAATTCATGGTATAATAGCAATTATAAGATGTTACGTCGGTAGGAAATAGATTTTAAATTGGAGATCACCAAAAATATTATAAACCTATGACTTTAGGGCTCCTTACAGTTTTCATTACCCCTATTTTATCACTTTGTTTGTGAATGGCATACTCTTACAGACTTGAAATGTCCTGTGTAAAGGTAGGCATCATCACACATCAGAGGCTGATTAAAATTTTAGTCCTGCTGCAGCCAAAAATTCCAAATCTTGTCTATGCAGAAGGTGTCTTAGAAAATTATTTTATGTTAGCTAACCTCTTAATTCAAACATTATTTAAAGCTGCACTTAATGTATTGTGTTATTTTAAGGGGTTAAATAATTACTCTATGCTTCAAAAGACCTTTCTGACACTAGTGTTCATTTATTATCTTAAATATTGCTAGTTTTGCCTGCGGGTTATCTTAGTTGTAGTTTATTCATGGTTGAAAAATAAACCTGTAAAATACAAAGTTTATAAACATTGCTGCAGTTCTTAGCCTCATGCAAAGAAGTTTATATGAGAAGTTTATGTGGTAGGCTAAAGAATACCTGCAAAAATCCCAATAGGTGTCATTCCATGAAGAAAAGGCAGTAATTGAAACACTGTTCCTTCGGGATAATTCTGGAGGACAAGTCATGTTGTCTTTAAGTAGCCAGTGTCCCTCCTTGCTGCAGAGTGGTTGAATTAGCAGCTGAAATAGTTGCCAAACTACCAGTGGCTGTTTTCCACTTGGGCACTGTGCCTTGCTAATTGTGTTGTTTTGCTTTTGGACTCAGTCTGATATCTCCATATGGTACAGCAGTATCTGGTTAATCTGCTACACACAGAAGTTGTCTTGTGGGGGATAAATGTACCTCGGTCAGTCTTAGGTATGTTCTGCTGGCTCTTTTGCTCCTTTTAGGCTGTAGTGAATGTTCTCTTCCCCATTCTGCCTAACAGCTCTCTGCTCAATTATTCAACTTCTGAAAATAATTCATAATAATTTTCTATATGCAGATTCCTAAACAGCTTTACAGTTACATCAGGACCTTTCCCTTTAGGAAAAAAATGTCAGGCTGGTAGTATTGTGGAGTGTTGTAAGTTAAAGGGATGGGTTTGTAGAAGAAACAGTTTTGCTTAAAATGTCAATCTTGCACTCTCAGTATTATAGTCTATTAGACATTTATTTTGGAAACAATAAAGAATGTTTGCTTTACGCTTGTGAGCTGTTCGGTCAATAGCAGATGCAGCAGTGACTTAGGTGTACTCAGAAGTAAAAAGAAATTTAAGAATCTTCAAAACAAGGTGTTCCTGTTACACAACCTAAACAGCATATGCAAAGTTCAGAGTTTACTATGCATCCAGTCTTTGAGCCATAAAAATGCACATCTTTTTTCATCCGTTCGCTAAAGCTAGGCATGTGTTTATAATCTGAGATGTAGCAAACTTACAATTCAGATTGCTTACTGTACTGATTTGGAGAAGGGATTTCAACTGGTTCTCCTGTCTCAGAACTGTGCCCTACTGTGTTCTGAACTTCTGTTGCTCCTGTTTTTTAATTGGCACCAAGCACTCAAATGTTCATGGCTTGAGCAAAGCAAAGCAATCATTTGATAGACTGGTGACAGTAAGTGCTCATCTGTTAAACAGAAATCCAACTTCTCCAAAACTTCTGAAGTCAGTAGGAGTAGAAGGCTATAAACTGAGAACTGAAGTCATTTAACATCTCTTATGATATATGTGCCATGACTGGGAATTCAAGGGTTCTTTAGTGTGCAATAAATTTATCCTGCAGCCAGTGTACTTGAACTTGGATGCGCTGTTGCTGAAGAGCTGCAATGTGCAGGTTACACTTACTTGCAGTGTTTCTTTTCAGTTGATGGATATTTGCTTTGGAATATTCTCATAGTGGACTTCTATTTTAAATTTCAAATTGTATCACTGAATAATATGTCTACACCATAGATTACTTTGTGACTGTGCTTGTGCTTTTCTGTACAATCCCATGCTACCCTTTCATGTCTGCCTCTCCCTGCAGTGCACACACTGTCATTGAGATATATTTATTTGCTCAGCCAAGCAGTGTTTCAAGCTCAATCTTTCCAGGTAAAATAAATTAGCTTTTGCAGTAAACATCTCAAGAAGAAAAAAATAATCTCCTGAATGTGTGGTATAGAAAGATTGTAATTACAGCTAAAATGTGCAACTTAAATTTTAAATATAATTTGTGTGTCTTAGGAGAAACCTGCATGCTACTTTATCAAATATATGAATTTTTATATCTATTTTTAGTCTCAAAAATCTTGGGAGAGATCAGATCTAACATTCTGACATGGTAACTTCAGCTGCTGTTGAAAACTTGTAATATGCTGTTTTTACAGAGCTATGTCCGTCTGGGAAAGCAGTCTACAGATTACTACTGTGTGCAGTATACTTGGAGCTTGGTTTGGAGCATTTCCTATTCCTCTTGATTGGGATCGGCCTTGGCAGGTTAGTGTGTGCACCCTTGTAATAAATATTAAAAAAATATTAATATTCTGGATTTGCACACTACACAAAATTGCTCTGAAGCTTTACAGGTATATTGGATTTACTCAGAAACTGTTCCTACAGAATTATGCCAGACATTTAAAAAGTCATTGGAAGCATTTGTGCTTACAGTGTAAGGAATTAAAATGCAATATTTTTACCTCTTGTTTGTTACAGATTTATGAGTGTCTGTTGCATGCAAATTTTATCATGAAATAGATCTCATCCAATAAGGATTTTGATAAAAAGAAGCTAGGCAAGCAGGAGGAGAAATGTGAAGTGATGAAGATGGCTCAAGTTTGCCTTCAGTCTGGTAGCTTTTATTGTTCATGGGCAGGGAAGGAAAGATACTTTTCTAGTGTTTTAGCTCCCCTCTGTCTTCCATAAAAGCACTTAACAGAATGCATTTTAAATGGATTTGGATTGACTTGTGTGAAGTGTGTGTCCCAAGCACTGTACTAAACACTTCTGATTTCAAAGGAAGACAAACATTAAACTTTGTAGTTGGACAAGAAAAAATGTGAAGCTGGCATTGCAGATTATGTCTTTATAAATTCAAATGTTTGCGCTATTTTCTTAATATGTTTTTTGGCATGGAGAAAGGATTAAACTATACATAATTGAAGTCTGCAACTGCCATAAAATAATAGCACTAGTAACAATTCTTCCTAAATGTTCTCAGTGGATACATTCTTTCCTCTGGTTACCAAACTGGTACACTCTTAGCTGAGGAGTACCTACCAGGCCTCTTCTTAAGCAGATGGTTTCAGAAATCAGTGTAACAGGCAGAGGCACTTTCCTCTGTGATATTGTAGAGATGTTGTGGCTTACAGCTGCAGTGGAAATCTGTCTTCCATAAGTAGCTAACAGCCTGCTCTTATGCCACCAGCCTTTCATTGCAGTAGCATAATGAGACATTAAAATTTGTATTTCAGAAATAATAGAGGAGTGGTTTAATACTTTAAGTAAAAATATCAGGTTTTCTTCCCTAAAAACACCTGGTTTTACTCTTGCAAGATGTTTTGCTATCAATCTGACATAGCTGTGTGTTGGCACTAGTTAATTGTTGACGGACATGAACGTAACCAAAAAATCAAAGGATTCATTGAAATGCGATCTTGTTTCTTCTTGCGAAGTCTTATTCGCTATCCTGTTCTGATGAGAGGCAAGCACTTTTTCCTTGCTCAGCTAGGACTTTAAAATAGCATGTCACATCTGGCAGGTTTTATTTTATTCCGAAAATGTCAGACTTTGCCGTATATAAAAATTTCACCTTTTATGCACCAATGATATAAGGAAAACCTGGTTACTAAGTCAGGGGGCTCTGTTTAACAAAACAAAGACACTAATAGTTGAAGACAGGTATCTTAGGTACAGTTAAATTTTTACTTTTTGTCCATTCCCCCATCTTCCCATAGTGGGAGAGACAAGTTTGGTAATGGTCTGGCAACTTTTTCTGTTTAAAAACTCTTCCAAGTCAATAAAGGCCAAACATGACTGATGAAAGTTTAGCTCTTAATCTATACTTAAGACGTCTAGAAAGATACGATCTGACTCCTCAGAACAGCAAAGCACCTGCAGAAACCAAACTTGTCACTAGCTGTTTCTGGGCGTGAATGCTCCCCAGAGACTTCAAGCAGCAGCAGAAACTCTGTGTCTGCATTTCCCTTTTCCTTCACCATCTCCCTCATTTCCACTCTCATTTCTGGCATACTCCTGATACCAAAGTTAGCAGGGGAGAGTTTCTGACTCTTAAGTCCTGCATCAAAGCAATTTTCTTCTGCCTAGATCTAGAGCACTTGCTGCTGTGTTCTTTCCCTTAAGTTCCCCTCATTTTTCCCCATCCTCACTTCTCCATCTTTCACCTTGTAGAGTTTTAAACAGTGGGGTGGGGGAAGTAATCTTGTGTTCCATTTTGGGTCTGACCTGCTTGATCACTACGTTAATCATCATGTGAGCAGTTTGAGAGCAGCCATAGAGAAGTTTGCTTATCAGTCCTGCAGGCTGCTGCTCCAGCAGTCTTTGAAAACTGCAGTTTTAAGTGCTAATTTTTAAAGATCTGCTTTATTAGGGAAGATGAAAGAAGTTCTTGTTAAATTTAATGTAGTTTTTAGAAGTCCAGTTGTCTCAGAAAGCAACACAGTGAAGCACCAAAATGGTAACATCTTCAAGACAGAAACAAGCTGAGCTACATTATGAATCACTTTCTCTGGGAAAACGCCGAACTTCACGCAGCAGCTGATGTCTTTTGTCTTTCTACCCCCACTTAGTGGTATGGATTCAACAACCCAGGTATTGCATGTAGTAGCTGCATTGCTCTCTCAGAAATCTTCAGAGCCAAGAGACATTTCTGTTGTTCTTCAGAAGTTCACCAGGCAGTAGCAAAAAGCCCCTTTTTGCAAGACTGTTCCTTTTTCTACCTGATGTCAGGTGATTACAGAAACTCTAATAGTAAATTCTTTCACTGTAACAATAAAAGAGGAGAGGTGCTTTCTGTGTTGTCTTCAGCCTAAGACAGGGGAAAGAAAAATGGTTCTCATAACGGATTCTGCTGTTGTTGCAGATCTGTTTAGTTTGGGAGAATATTTTTAATGCAGATTGCCCATCCCCTGAGTGATCTAACTTCTGACTTACTGAACATAAAAATACCTGTACGTATAATTATATATGTACAAATACCTATACATATAAAAATACCTGCAGGAAGTAGTTATTATTTAAATAATAATTTTTAAAATCCCCCCAAAATACAAGAATTGATAGAACTTAATCCAGCTGGATATGCTTAAGGGAACACCTACAGATTAGGTCTCAGGCAAAGTCTGAAAAAAATCATGTAGATCTTAATGTAGGCTGAAAAGTAATCAAAACCCAGTCAAAACCAAATTACTTCTAGGCATCTGCATGAGTAAAGCATTAAGCTGTCATGCTTCTGACATCAGCTGTTTCTCTTATTAGCGTTAAAAGCAGAGAGCTTGAGGATTACAATTTTGCATTTACCCTTCTCCTATCCAAAAAGAGACTCAAATGGAACAGCTTAGTCTTTGGACTCAAGACCAGCTTTTGAAATAAGAACAAGTTTCATAAGTGATTATTTTCCTTTTTGTGTTTTAGACTTTGTGTTGTAAACGTCTTTTTTTTTTTTTTTAATCTGTAGTGGAAATGGTTCTGCTCTAAAGCTGAAAATGTGGTTTAAATCTTATTACATGAGCAAGACTAAAGTGGTATTATCATTTTAGAGAGCAGTGTTAAGGCCATTAAGCCTGTTTATTGCAAAATCTGGTTCTGATGTTTGTATTGGTTATGGTTAGTATTTGTGGTGTAACATGATGGAAACAGTGTTTGTACTTTTAGCTTCAGACAATTCATTATTGGAGGAGTGTTGCAGACAAGGTGAAATTAGTACTAGAAGAATTTGATGGATCAGCAATAATTATCACATGATAAAGCAAACCAAAGGGTTGCTGCTGCCACCCTTGTGCTTTGTAGCCCTAAAATGCTACATGTCAAAAACATGTAATATCCAGCAGGTACAGAAATGTGCTGTGATTTTGAGATGAAAAGTGCAATTGCTATTGATTTAGCTCTGTTAGAACAAAAAGTTAAGCAGTGTGTCTTGAATTGGTATATTTTTTCACTTAATCAGGATTTAGCATTTGATCAAATCTAGTGTCCACACTTCACATTGTAAACTGTCTACACTTTAAACCATTACTTTAAAACTCAACTTTTAAATTAATGTAGTCCAGTTCAGAAAGTGGAGTATGTAAAGCCACTTCTGTTAAGTCTGTTTTGTTCATAGAAATGGCTTCAAATGAAAATGGCCTGTAGTCACTCACCCAAAGCAAACAAGAGGCTGAAGGGAGTACTGAGAACGGGGGAATTTCAATAGAGTATTGAGTAAAGCTGATTTCACTGTTCTGTAAGGCAGTGTTATCTGAATTGCCACACTGATATATGTTGCAGTTCTTCTGCTGTCACTTTGTGTCCTTCAAAGAAAAAGCAACATTTTTCACTACTCTCTTTCCCTGTCCTTGGCTGGTTGTATTGGGACTAGCATCTTTTCCTGTAATCTTAATAGAAAAACTGAAAAATTCTGTGGTAGTCATTCCTTTACATCACAGTTGAGACATATCAGTGGAAACTGAGAAGACTGTTGTACTACTACCTATATCTTACCTGATCATAAAATCAGATGTCAATGCCTTCTGTATCTTTCACTAGAATTTCTTTTTACTTCCAAGTACTTCAGAGTTCTGTGGAGTAAACCTGATGATGAATTTCATACTAAGAGTTCCAATTCATGTGCTAATGGCTAAAACCCAAATAGTACTTCATGCTGAGTTATTCATAAACCAAAGAAAACATACCTGTTCTTTACGCATACCTCTTGTGACATGCAACAAAACCAAGATAAATACAGATGTCTCAGAAAATCTTCACTTTATTTTTCCATGTTATGTTTGAAAAATAACGCATACAGGGGATATTCAGATTAGTGGGCCTGTCTACATTTAAAAATAATAATGTAAAATGCATTTTTTTTAGCGTATAACAACTTTTATGCTAAGTAAATATTGCTTATTAGGAACAGAGTATTGTTTTGGAAATAAAATAACACCAGTTATCCGAATAATGTTTCAGAATGGACATGAAAAATATATTAAGCATTTCTGTTAGAAGTATAAAATATATTGCTGAAAGCCAGTTGATATCTTGATGACTCATTGGCTTTTATTATTCTGTCGTTGTTCTTAAAGCAACTTTTCAACATAATCTGGCCATGCATATTGCTCCTCTGCTAGTTTTAAGAAAAATTTATTTTGCAACTGCAAAACAGTTGGTCAGGGAGGCCTAGTCTATGGTTGTTCCTGGTTATAGGTCTGCAGAATTCAGCCTGTCTCAGACAAAGGTAAAGATAATTGCTTTACAGGAATGCAGGTTAGTCCTCCAGTAGTTAC